GGGGCGGGAAACGTTTGGTCATTTTTGTGGGTGCCTAGACACAGGACAGTCTTGTTTCTTTCTCATTCCGCCATGGTCCCAGTGTGACATCTTCAGATGTGGGGAGGGGGCATCCTCTATAAGTTTGTAAGTAGGGAGCACCATGGCCTGGCAGTTAGTGCCAGCTGCCAGCAGCCAGGCTGTCTTTCTTCCTCTTCAATGAATATCCAAGGGTCTATTGTGCGTGAGACACTCCCACTGTGGGTTGGAGGGAGCAGGGGTGTATGATGAGTGGGAGCTGGGCAGTGAGGAGGGACAGGGCCAGACAAGCAGGCAGGCCCCTGGCAGGGAGGTGGTGCAATGTATTTGCACCTTGTCTGCCTCTATCTCGAGGCCGCAGGCCTAGAATTTGCAAAGTGTGACATAGATGCATATCTTCCACACACTGGTGCTCAGAGTCTGAGTCCCCCTCTGCCCCCGGCTACCCCTTCGTCTGCATCTTTGAGGCAGGGAGGTGGGGACTGAAACACAGAGAAACAAAGAGGACAGAGATAGAGAAGCTGACTGAGAGACATAGGTAAAGAGACACAGAGATGGACTGAGAGAAAGCATGACTCCATGCACCGAGAAACACAGGAGCACACCAGCCCTGGAGTAAGCACACAGCTGAGGAGGGCCGTCTGCAGTTAGGTCTCTGGTTTCCCCTTCTCCCTGGGCTCAGGGACAGACAACAGAGCTCTACGAGAGTCTGCATCCCCAGCTTCCCTTTTGCGGAGGAGGAAGCGCCTTGTCCAGAATCTTTTAGCCAGTGTATGGCACACGCAGTCTGAAATGTGGGTCTCGTAGCATTTATGGTTCAGACGCTGAAGACAAAGTGGAAAGGCATTAACTAAGGGCGGCCACTGGGGGCCTGTCTTAGTCAGCTCAGGCTGCTGTAACAAGCAGCACAGATGGAGCAGCTCACACAACAGACATTTGTTTCTCATGCTTCTGGAGGCGGAAAGTCCAAGATCAGGCTGCTGGCAGATTCAGTTCTTTTTTTCTTTTTTTAACTTTATTTGTATTTTGGGAGAGAGACAGAGAGAGCAGGGGAGGGGCAGGGAGAGAGAAACAGATCCCAAGCAGGCTCCACACAGTTAGCTCAGAGCCTGCCTCGGGGCTCGAACTCACGAACCATGAGATCACTACCTGAGCTAAAATCAAGAATCAGACATTTAACCAACTGAGCCACCCAGGTGCTCCCAGATTCAGTTCTTGATGAGGGCCTGCTTCCTGGTTTGTAGACAGCTGCCTTCTTGCTGTGTCCTCACATGGTCTTTCCTTGGTGCATCTTGGAAAGAGAGAGCACTCTGGTGTCTCTTCCTTTTCCTATAAGGACACTAATCCCACCATGAGGGCTCCATCCTCATGACCTCATCTAGATCTAATCACCTCCTCAAGGCTCTAATTCCTAACACCATTGCATTGGGGGTCAGGGACTGAGCAGATGAATTTGGGTGGGGTGGGAGGGATACCCTTTTCCCTCCGGATTTGCTCACACATCAAGTGCATGGGAGTGCTGAGTCTGGCTTTCTTTGTGCAGGAGAAGCTCCTGACAGAACGAGAAGCCGCTGTCCTGCAGAGCCAGCTGGAGGAGGGCCGGGAGGTAGTGTCCCTCCTGCAGGCACAGAGAGCCGAGCTGCAGGCCCAGGTAGGGTGTCACACTCTCATGTCCACTGCTCGCCATTAGGCATTCCCACCACACATGTCAATAGGGTTCTACAACACATTTTATTCAGGTGTCACGTGCATGCAGAAAAGTGTACAAGTATCCATCTGAGGGAATTCTCACGAGTGTCACATGCCTGTGTATCCAGTGCTCAGAGCCAGAAACAGGCCATCCTGAGTAGCGTGACCAGCTATCCTGCTTTAAGTGAGGATTTCCCAGGATGCAGGACTTTCAATGCCCGGACTGGCCAAGTCCTGGGCAAACGGGAACCATGGTTCATGCTATTCCCAGGCCCCTCAGGGGTTCCCCTTGTGCCCACTTTGAGTCACCACCACTCCCCACCAAGGGTAAGGCTGTCCTGACTCCTGCACTGCTGATCCGTTTTGCCTGCTTTAACCTTATCCTTAAAAATAAGAAGAGATGGACACATATCGGGATTTCTATCCTCCCAATCTATGCTTCCTGTTTCTCTTTTCATGACCTAAAATCTCCCCTTTGGAATTTGATTACAGGCGTGGGAAAGGGTGGTCATGTCAGTGTTTGCCTCCCCTCAGGATTCATTTGTATAAAGCTCCCATTTCTACCCCTCCCCCCCTTTTTTTTTTGGCAAAGCTTAATCTGAAAACTAAAGTCACCGGAAGAATGCTCTCCTGTTTCTGTGGCCTTCCTTCTTGGTTAGTGAGCTTCGTGGTTCACACCCCTGATTCCTTCCAGTTTGCTTTCTCTCATTACTATCCTGTTGTAATGGGAGACATTGGGTTAGAATACTAAACCTTCATATACTGTGCAACTACATTCCAAAATCAAAAAATAAATGGACATTTGGTTTGACAAGTACATATGAAGGGACAAGAGAAGAAAAAGTTTTGGACTATTTAGGAAACCTGGAACATTTATATGTTATATGTTACTCTGTCTCTATCCAATGTCTGCAAAATCAAAAAAAGTTAACGCCACACAGATCTGGTGCTTTTGTAGGTATTCAGTGCCCTCCAGATCTGCCCGGAGTTTTATGAGGGGACCATTGAGTTCCAGAATCTTCATTTCTGCCCCACCACACACTGTCACTATGCAGCAACTCTCAGGGGCCACTGAAAGCAAACCAGGGTCTGGTGATTATCTCCCGAGGTAAAAATCACAGCTCGAGAAATCAAGTACTGCCCTTAAAACTCATCCTTTCATGACAAACCATGGGTTGGGGACCAGATGCACCATTTTGGTGACTTGGTAATTTGTGGCTTCCTCTGAGGCCCTGGAAGAATGGAGTGAGAGTGAGTGAATGTGTGTGTGTGTGTGCACATACATGTATGTGTATGTGTTTATGTGTGTAGATATACATGTGTGTATGCATATATGTGTGTGCATGTTGTGTACTATATATGTCTATATTCATATATGTGTACATATGTACGACTTTGTATGAACGTACGTGTGCACATGTTTATGTATATACGTGTGTATGTAGGCGTGCACGTGTGTGAATGAGAGACTGGAGAAGTGGATGCAAGCCCACTGGTCCTAGAGACTGGTGTTTTCCAAACCACTGTTTACAATGTATTATTGGGTTGTAAAATGACTTCAGCAGAATTGAGTGGCATTAATAAAGAAGAAATTGACAACACTAGACTAAGATAGAATAAGAAATAACAGAGTACATGGCATGTAACAGTGGGATTTGCTTTGTGAAACCCGTGTTTTAAATATATATGTTTGCATATTTAAATATATATATTTGCTCAAATGCACACACACACATGCACACACACGTTTGTATGATGTGTATGGTTTGTGGTGTTAAATGTGGCTCTTCAAGTGGGCGTGGTGACAAAGTTGAAAACCCTGCCCTAGATACTGAGAAAATGAAAGAGCCCAGCTGATGTGGTAAATTCCTGTTCCGGGGCAAAAAGGTTTCTGTCTCTATGTACATATATGTATTTATTGAATGTAAAAGTAAGACATTTCATGAAGGATCAACCTAGTTTCTGAGGACGTGAAATAAATCTGTCTGTTTGGCCACGTGTCCCCTCCCATAGTTGCTGCAGGAAGGCTTATAGGTCTTGCTCTGACATTGTTGTCTCTCTAAATCGGGGATCTTCACTTTTTCTGTGCCCTGCCCCACCCCCCAGCAGTCTGGCAAAGTCCGTGGTCCACTTCTCAGAAAAATGTTAAAGGCGTATAATAAAAATAAAGAACATATAATTAAAACAAAACCAATTATATTGAACCAGTTATCAAAATATTACCAAATCATTTTCTATATAATAATACATGTGCTTATATTAAATACAACTAGCAGTGGGTCTAATGCAACACAAGTTGTGTTTTCTCTCGCTGCTGTAAGGAATTACTAAACATGCAAGGGCTTGAAACAGTAGTCCCTTGTCTCGCAATTCCATAAGTTAGAAGGCTGGGTGGGCTTGGTTGGTTTTTCTGCTCTGGGTCTCACAACGCTGATACAAAGTTGTCGGCCGGCCTCCTTATCTGAAGGCTCTTGGTGGAGAATCTTCCAGTTTCAATCAAGTTGTTGGCAGAACTCAATTCTGTGTGCAGGTGGGATTGAGGACCCTATTTCTTGCTGGCTGTTGGCCAGGAATTATTCTAGAAGCCGCACACATGCCTTGGCTTATGGCCATCCTCAAATCCAGCAACAGTGCTTGGAATCTTTCTCAGGCATCTAATCTCTCTGACTTGTGCTTTTAAGGGCTCATGTGATCAGGAATAATCTGTAATAATCTCCCTATTTTTTTTAAGTCCACTGATTAAGAGCCTTAATCACATCTGCAAAGTCCCTTTTGCCATGTAACCTAACATATTCATGGGCGGAAAGCTAAGGGGCAAAGGTCATGGGGACCAAAGTCTGCCTAATTAGCACTAATTAAAACACAGATGTGGCTGGGCCCACCCAAGAGTTTCTGACTCGTTCTGGGATGTGGCCCAAGAATTTGCATTTCTAGACTTCCAGCTGATGATGCTTCTGGTCTAGGAATCACACTTTGAGAACACTGGTATAGGGGTGGGCCCTAGGTTGGGTCAGAATGTTTTACATCTGGCCTACCTTAGTCCCTGGCTTGGGGCTTTCACATCCTATTCAGGAGTCGTTCATGGCTGGCTTTTTGTTGATTTTGAAAGGTTTTAGTGACTGCCCAATAGAGTAGCTAAGCTGAGTGCTCTAAGGGAGATTTGGTGGCTTAGCCCCTCAGTAGTGCCAATGCTGACTAGGGACAGGGGAGGGGGGTGGGGCAAGGAGAACTCCTTGTAGCCTGAGGGCTCCAACCTGGCACAACCAAGGCATATGGTTCTGCCTGTGGTTGGAGCTACTGATGCTTCCAGAGCCCTCCATAGCATGGTCCTCAGGGTGAGGTCCCTAAACCAGCAACATCAGCATCACCTGGGAACTTGTCAGAAATGCACATTCACAGGCCCGGCCCGGCCCAGACCTACTGAGTCAGGAACTTTGGGGTGGGGCCCAGCAATCTCTGTTTTAACAAGCCCTCCAGGTGGTTTTGCAGGCTCAAGTTTAAGAACCCACGTCCAGGGGTACTTGGGTGGCTTAGTCGGTTAAGTGTCCAACTTCAGCTCAGGACATGATCTCACAGTTCGTGGCTTCAAGCCCACGAACTCTGTGCTGACAGCTCAGAGCCTAGAGCCTGCTTCAGATTCTGTCTGTCTCTTTCCCTCTTTCTCTGCCCCTCCCCTCTCATGCTCTGTCTCCTCAAAAATAAATAAACATTAAAAAACAAACAAAACACTAGTCCAAAGGATGGAAGAAACAGCACCCTCAGAGCTGGCAGCCCCTTCTTTGAAGCCAAACATAGTCCATGCATGAGATCACTGGGATGGCGCTTCCTAGAGGTGGAAGAAAAGGGACAGGCACTTCTGGCTCCCTAAATTACATTTCACTGAGAGTTTCTGAGGCAGGGACATGGAAAGAGTCATGTATTACTTGGAAAGAGTGAACCTCCCGAGTATCATTTCTCATTAAAGTTGCCTAGCACCATCTAGTGGTAGATTTTGGGAAGACAGCATGTAATCCGTGAAGGACACTTGATTTCTTCCATTTCCTTCTTAAATTGTTTTTCTTTTTTTTAATGGAAGTAAATTAGTATACAGTGTTATGTTAATTTCACGAGTACAATGTAGTGATTCAACAATTCCACGTGTCAGTGCTCATTAAGATGAGTGTACTTTTAATCCCCTTTATCTGTTTCACGCTTCCCCTCTGCCCCCTCCGCTCTGGTGACCACCAGGTTGTTCTCTGTATTTAAGACTCTGTTTTCTTTGTCTGTTTTTTTTCTTTGTTTGTCCACTTACTTTGTTCCTTAAATTCCACATGTGAGTGAAATCATATGGTATTTGTTTTTCTCTGATTTATTTCACTTAACATTATACCCTTTAGTGCATCCATGTTGTTGCAAATGGCATGACCTCTTTTTTTTTTTTTATGGCCTGAATGGTATTCCATTGTATATGTATATACCACATACATCTTCTCCATCCATTCATCTACTGAATGGGAGGAGATATTTGCAAATGATATATCCAATAATGGGTCAATATCCAAAATATATAAAGAACTTACACAACTCAACACCAAAAAACAACTAACCCAATTAAACATGGGCAGAGGACCTGAAGGGACACTTCTCCAAACAAGACATACAGATGACCAACAGACCCATGAAGAGATGCTCCATATCACTCATCAGCAGGGAAATGCAAGTCAAAACCACGATGAGGTATCACCTTACACATATCAGAATGGCTAAAATCAAAAACACAGGAAACAACAAGTGTTTGTGAGGATGTGGAGAAAAAGGAACCTGTTTCCTTTTTTAAAAAGACCTTGGACCCAAAGGAATCTGGGGGCCTAAGAGGACCAAAGAGGTCACCCGTCCAGATGGGGCTCACTGTGAGGCACTGCCAGGGTCCCACTGACCCATGCTGTGCAAAAGCAAGCCCCACAGCTGTGCTTGAACGCTGACTCCTTCGTTCATCCGTGACTGCCAAGTTCCATGTGAGGTTCAGCAAATACCGATCAGAGCATGATGTAGCTCCTGCCTTGCAGCTCTGACATTCATCTGTCAGTCCAAGAGAAACACAGCAGTCACTCTTGCTCAGGATGAAGTTCAGGTTGCAGCATGGCCCACACCTTCCACCTGCCTCGCTCTCCAGTCTCCATGCAGCTACTCCCCTCCAAGAAGCCCTGGGCTGGGAGTGAGATGCTCTCTCTTCTTCTCCTGACCCTCTTGTGGTTTCTGGCACCTGCCCTTGTGTCTGTCTCCTCTTCTGGGAGCACTTTTCTTCTCTTCATTTCAAATTCCTGCCCTTGGGACTGGCCTACTCTGACATCTTCCAGCACCTGAGGGCCTCCCTGTACTTTGTGATGCCCTGGGCATGTGTTGAACCACCTCCCACACTGGGATGAACTCAGGGAGAAGGAGTGTCCATCTCCATTCTCAGACAGACCAAAGAAAGGCTATTCCATTTCACATCAGAATCTCTTTTCTACAGCCCTATGCCCCAAATGAAGTGGAACATTGGCCCTGTGAACACTTGTCTGATCCCTCAGGACTGGGTGTCCTCCATAAATTCATCGGAGGACTGACCATCACCACCCCACCACCACCGCCCCAACAGCAAACCACCAGCTAGGCAAGACCCACAAAATCGTGCCTGCTTGCCCTGCCTTCACTGGGGTTCATGGTGACATTTTCCTGTCTCTGATTTTAAACTGGCACTATCTTGACTACCATTTAGAGATTGGCTAGGAGACATGGGGACGGAGGGGGGTCTGTCGTGGATCACCTCAGTCCCCAGGTCTTCTTCAGGCAGGAACCACTGGTGTTGCTTGCCTGTTGACGTGTGGGAATAGGGGGTTTTCCAAGGGCCTGGAGTGAGTGTGTGTGTGTGTGTGTGTGTGTGTGTGTGTGCGCGCGCATGCACATGTACTGCTCACCTGCAGCTGGGAGGAGGCTGACACAGGGAGGCCCATGGTTTCAGGAAGTGTCTCAGACCCTGCACAGGTGGCTCTGAATCCTGTACTTATTGGCAAGTCACTTTGTGCCTGTGTGCCTCAGTTTCCTCATCTGTAAAGTGGGTGCAGTAGCAGCCCCTGCCCATATGGTTGCTGTGAGGCTCATGACTTGTTCCCAGTGAGAAGTTGCCAGCACAGACCATTGTCCCCACCCCGGGCTGGGGAACCCATACCCAAAGGGGGCAGTCGATTCGCTTCACTCATAATCTTTCCTTGTGTTTACTCTGTTCTGGAACACTTCAAACATATACAAAAGTGAGAGGACAGTCTCATGAGTGCCCATACCCCCATCCTCCAACACATGGTCCCTCCTTCATCACCTGCACTCCACATATCCCCATGTGATTGTGAAGCAATCCCTGACACCAGACCATCTCATCTGGCAGTATTTCAACTGTACCTCTAAAAGATGAGGGCTGCTTTTATAGAATGTGAGGCCGTTAACCCACCGCAAACATTTTTTTTAATGTTTATTTTTGAGAGAGAGAGAGAGAGAGAGAGAGAGAGTGCACTTGCAGGGGAGGGGCAGAGAGAGAGGGAGACAGACACAGAATCTGGAGCAGGCTCCAGGCTCCGAGCTGTGCTGCCGGGGCCCCAGTGTGGCCAAGGTCCCCCAGGCTTGTTCTCGGGACTGCTCCATAGAAAAGAACGTCTGACTTCAGGGTTCTTCCACTCCTGGATGGCTTCTTGTCTCTGAGATTCAAGCTTCAAAGGGGGTCTTTTAAATTCCTTATTTCCTGGAAGCATTTCCTAGAGTGTATGAACCCTGGCGTAGGTAAGAAAATGTGGCCGCACCAGGAATTAGTGGTATGCCTTGGTATTTGACATGACAGGTAACTGAATTTAAAATCTTTTTTTTTTTTTTTAACGAGGAACAGAAACTCGATCACAGTAGCTTAAGCAGGAAAGGGTGCGCTGTGATTTTCTTTTGAAATAATTTTAGACTTCTCAAACGCTACAAAAATAGCACACAGGTTTCTCACAGACTCTTCACCCAGCTTCCCCAAATGTTAGCACCTTCACTACCACAGAACCATGTCAGGAAATTAACGACAATACCATCCTGGTAATAGACTTGACAAACACTTCACAAATACCCCACCAGCATTTTTTTCCGGTCCTGGATCCTACTTGCAAATTAGGTGTTGTATCTCCTTAGTCTCCCCAATCTGGGATAGTCCCTGCCTTTCTCTGTCTTTGATGACCTTGATGGAATTATTTTGTGGAATGTCCCTCCTTTTGGGCTCCTCGATGTTTTTTCAGGATTAGGCTGAGGCTATGCATTTGTGGCTGGAATCCACAGGAGTGATGTGTCCTCAGTGCGTCTCATCAGGGGAGTGTCATGTGGGCATGTCTTCCTGCCGGTGATGTAACTTGGATCACTTGGTTAAAGTGGCGTCTGCCGGGTTTCTCTACTGAGAAGATACTCTTTTTTCCCCCAGAGGAGCAAGATATAAAAGGTCGTTTATGAGATTTGAGAGCAGGGTGTGGGGCAGGAACCAGGAACTTGGATCTGAGGCAGCTGCTTACTCCCTCTCTTTCTTCTCTCTCAACTCTGTTCGCCTTTGCCCTTAGGCTTCATTTCTCTGCCCCTCAGGAGAATTGCCTTTGTCAGTTTCTCCATGCACGTTATGAAAGATGGCCACTCCAAAATGGCGGCCCCAAGGTTATATGAATCTGCCACCCACTCTCTGCTGTTTCTGAGATCCCTTTCCAAATTCCACAGGGAGGAAGCATGTGATAGGCCTGTCGGAATCAGGCCCGGCCCTGGTTCTGTAGGTCTGGTCAGGAGAGTGGAGTCACAGTGCTGCTGGGACTCCTCTATGAGTGAGGTGGTACAGGTATCAGACAAGGGGGATGACATAGGCTGACAGATGACTTCCCAAAGTGTTGAGTATATGTACCCCTTCTTTTCCTCCTTCCCTCTCTGCTTCCCTCCTTCCCTCCTTCTCTCCTCTCCTTTCCTTTCCTTTCCTTTCCTTTCCTTTCCTTTCCTTTCCTTTCCTTTCCTTTCCTTTCCTTTCCTTTCCTTTCCTTTCCTTTCCTTTCCTTTCCTTTCCTTTCCTTTCCTTTCCTTTCCTCTCCTCTCCTCTCCTCTCCTCTCCTCTCCTCTCCTCTCCTGTCCTCTCCTCTCCTTCCTTCCTTTTTTCTTTCCTTCCTTCCTGATGCAGTAGATACATTGCTGAAAACCTTTGTAAGCTGTTTTCAAATGTCATCACTTAGGGAACTTCACTATTCTAAAGCGACGTCTGTATGTAAAGTGAGGAATCAAGGGCACCTGGGTGGCTCAGTGGGTTAAGTTTCTAACTCTTGATTTTTCTCACGGTTTGTGGGTTCAAGCCCTGCATTGGGCTTCATGCTGATAGTGCGGAGCCTGCTTGGGATTCTATCTCCTTCTCTCTCTGCCTCCTCCCCCGCCAAATAAATAAACTTTAAAAAAAAAAGTGAGGAATCAGGTGTCCTCCTAGGAATAATCATTCTCTAGATTTGTCCAATATGCACATTCAGCTGCATGTGAGATACCTGGTGGCAAACATACATGAAGTTGAATTCAGATACCTGTCCAGCCCCCCCACGACTCACTGTGTGGACCAGAGACAGGGCCAGTAATGTCACGTGGGCACTGGTTAGAATTGTAGAGCCTCTGGCCTCCCCCAGACTTGCCGAGTCAGGATCAGCAGCTTAACAGCGTCCTCCAGTGGTTCAAATGTGCAGTGAATTTTGGGATGGTCTAGGTACAAGTGGCTTTTTGGTTTGGTTTGTTTCATTTTGTTTTGAGGACTGATAAGGCACGGTGAATTCTTTTCTACTTGGGAAAATGCGATCGTAAAAGTCACGACTGCACACATACTAAGCTTGTAAATAAATACACATGTTGCTCTTTGCACATTGTTGGGAGCTCTTAAAGTGACTATAAGGCCACCTTATATTCTGTCATATTTCTATTTTCCTACCTCAATTTGGACTTGTGCTGTGTCACTATGCACCCGCCCCAACTTAATCATTTCAGTGAAAATAGCATCTTGTCTATTTAGTATGTGTGCTTTTTTCTATTTATCTTAAATTTTTTTTTAATCTTTATTTTTGAGAGAGATACATACAGAGTGCGAGTGGGGGAGGGGCAGAGACAGAGGGAGACAGAATCTGAAGCAGGCTCCAGGATCGGAGCCGTCAGCACAGAGCCCGAGGTGGGACTTGAACTCACAAAACTGAGCTTAGGACCTGAGCTGAAGTTGGACGCTCAACCAACTGAGCCACCCAGG